AAAAAAAAAACCACATTCCTTTATAGAAGTGAAATGCACGTGTTGATCTTCAGCTATAATTACAGAAGGCCATTTAGTTTCAGCCACCCCAGGCAAAAAAAAGAAAAAAAAAAAAAATGCCACCCAACAACATCCAACTTACCAGCGCCACTGCCAGCTCAGAGCTCTGATGTCAAACACGCTCGAGCCCCCCGGCTGGGGAAACACCCAGACGGCCCCGGAGCCTGTCTGGTGGCTGTGCTCACACCACGCTCTGCGCTCTGCCCCGTGCCAGTGAGGTAGCTGATCGTTCTATTGCTGTGTGCGTTGACCCTTCTGCCAGGGGGAGGGCACGGCGCTCACCCCGCACCGCAGGCAGCGCCACCGGGGCTGTCCCGCGCCTGGAGAGCGGGGAGGAAGGGTGTGAGGTCCTCAGGGCTTCACCCCCGACCCTTCCCACCACCAGAAGGCCAGGGGGTTCTGGTTGCAGTTCACTCCTGCACGTCCAGCACTGTGCTTCGTCCACTGGGACACGGGGGGAGCCTGGCGAGGGTTGAAAAGGAGGAGGACGGACAGGAGCGGGGAAAAAGGTGGAAAATGAAGGTTTTAAAATATACAAAATGTAACACACTGGAAAAAAGGTTAAAAGTTGCAAGACGAGAAAGGAAAAGAAATATATGAGGTGAGGAGAAAGGGTTGGAGGATGGAGAAGCTCCAGCCTGGGACGAGGAGCGGGTTGGGGGGGAACACTACTCCCTCTGGTAGCCGCTCAGTTCCACCTCGTCCTTGCGGCGCCGCTGCGTGAAGAGGGAGCTGAAGGGGTAGAGCTTGGCCTTGGCCTGGAAGCGCTGCCCGGCGATGTCGATCTCGTACTCCCCCTGGTTGATGAAGTCAGTGGTCACCACCAGCTCCTCTCCCGTCTTCTCGTCGAAGTTGTGCACGAAGCCGAGGCAGACGTGGCGCTCCAGGGTGTAGCTGTAGGCGCTGCTGGTGGTCTTGCCCACGTAGCGGCCGTTGCGGAAGATGGGCTCCCCCCACCAGGGCCAGAGGTCCATGTCCGTGTCGTGGTCCTCCAGGATGAACATGGTGAAGCGCTTGTACACCCCGTTCTGCTTCTGCTCCAGCAGCGCCTCCTGGCCCACAAACTCCATTCCCTGCGGGGGGAGAAGGAGGCGTGGGCTGGCTGAGGGACACGAACTGCGGCAGCTGTTGGGTCACAGCAGAGCAGCTCACCATGCAATGGCAATTCACACCTGAAACCCCTATCAAAATGGGCTGCTTCCATACAGCAAACGTGCCAGAAAAGCTTCTGCCTGAGCTGAAGCTCAGGCAGAAGCTTTTCTGGCACGTTTGCTGTTCCAGATGTTAAAGGACACAGCACATCGTTCTAATTTTCACTGCAGCGAAAACCATGTCACCATTCTACTCTTTGCCATTTTCCTGGCTCCAGAAGTTTACCGTGCTTTGTAAACCACAGGGAAAACTGTAACTAATATGACATTTGTATCCCCATCGCTACATTCCTTTCTTGAATTGAATCGAGCATTCGTTTTGGGCTCAAAGATGGAAGAATGAAGACAACAAGCCAATGACAGCAACACCACCACACAAAAGCAAGACAGGACTCTGTGCTGTTCAATGTTTTAGTAAAAACAGAGAACTCCCCTGTTTTAGTAGAAATAGAAAACACCTGTTCTTGGTGCCTAGCCTTGCATGCCACTTGGTGCATGGGCTGGCTTTTGCTTCATCAAACTGGGAAAACAGCTTGGAGAAACAAGAACCCTGAGCATCTGTAAGGTACAGAGCACTCTCTGCAACACCGAGCACAGCACACATGAGCAGCACCACACATTCACAGGCCAACTGGGAACCCTGCCCAGGAGCGATGAAGACAGCACTTTTGGTATTTCTAGCACCTTTCTGAAGGACAAGAATATATGTTACAGCTCTGCACTGCACACAACTCCATCCAAAAAACGACACGACTAGATCTGCTTGGCCGGCAGCCCTTTCAGCCTAGTCCTGCCCTCCCACCAAGCCCGGTGCAGGAGGTGCTGTACCTTTTCCAGCTTGACCTGGAACTCACGTCCACACTCCATGGGAGTGGTAAAAGCATCCAGGTCCTGGCCCCAGAAGGCGAAGAACTTCTCGATGCGCAGGCTGCGGAGCGCGTAATAACCGGCATTGCGGATCCCGTACTTCTGCCCCATGTTCATCACCTCGTTGTACACGTGGAGGGCGTACTGCAACGGGAGGGTGAAGCACAGGCTGACACCAGCAGAGAGCAAGAGGCAGCTGACACCACCAGGGACGTCACTGTCCCCTGCTGCCAGAGCACAAGAGCTCTGCCCGGCTGGAAGGAACACAAAGCAGGGACACTCCGCGCGGCTTTCCCGTGGTGCAAACCAGACATCTCATCGCCCTGAGTCAACTTGGAAAGTGTTTCTGATTATGCAAGCAACCGCTTTAATTAACTCGGGCTGCCGTGTACTCTTACCTCTATGGGGATATAAAGCACGAATCCAGGTTCTCCTGTGTGAGTGATGCTCATCACACGGATGCCGTTGGCGTAGCCCACGCTCATCTCCTGCGGAATCAGAGGGGGAGAAATCATCCCAGCTGGAACACAGCACAGGGCTCCAGGAGGAGCACAATGTGTAACACATCCACACTGCCCAGCCCTCTCTCTCCCCTATGCGCCTCCTGCACGTACTCACAATGAATTTGAATTTCAAAATTCAAATAATGATGTCACCTTATCCAGACTTGTTAATCACTTCATGACACTTGGCAATACGCCTTGGAACTAGGTCAGGACACAGGTTGTATTCCAGATACAGAAGCTGAATAGCAGCTACCTGCTCAGCCTCTTAACGTGACAGGAGACAGTGATGCCCGAGTCACTGATCCCAGCTGCCCCCCTGAAAGCTTCATGATTGATTATATGGAATATGTCATGATACCAAACGGCATCAAGTCCACAGTGAGAGGAACACTGAAAACAAACGCATCCTCACCGATATATTTAGCAAGCAGAACCCAAAGAGAAGTGAGCCCAGTGGGTTCTTTACCAACCTGGCTCAGCAACTGCAGCAAGCCTGTATGCAAATCTAAGTTCCCCTCCAATTATCCAAAATATAATTCTTCCTCTCCTCCCACGCGTGCTTTGAAAAACCCAGCAGGGAGAGGAGGATGGGAGCACAGCCACTCACCTTGCAAAAGAGAGAGGGAAAGTGTTCTGCAGTCATGGGGGCATAGGACAACTCAGACAACACGTCCACAGCACGGGGGCCAATCAGATTGAGAGCTAAAAGGGGGAAGAAATCAGCATTAGGAGTCTTGCCCAGTATCTAACACGCATGTGTGCATGCTCAAGTATCTGAAGTCTTAATCTTTATTGAACTAATAGGTATGTTTACATTTAAGACCAGAGGAGACAGTCAAACTTCCTCCTGACAACCCACCGTAAAGCAAAGCTGCCTTCCAGCTCATGGTTTGCCAGAAGGAAGTCTCTGAATTGCTGTTTTCATCAACATGTTTGGAAAGGAGACCAAGTCACCACTCCAGGCACTTTAAACAATTAACTGGTATGTGGTACAAAGGCACCATTTGTGATTTTGGGCTAAGGGGAGGTCTGCTTTCAGTGATTCCTTACCTGTGTACTTCCAGGTCACGTCCTCCAGGGTCAGGTTGCTGTCATCTGGCAAGCGGTTCTTCAGCCAGGCCCAGCAATGGACTTGCTGGTCAGTGGGGGAGATCATGAAGAAGCTGGAACAGACACAAAGAAACCAAGAAACACAATGAATGGACAGCCACAAGGTGAATCATTTACTCTTCGTTCATCGACTACTGGAGCTATTCAGTAGCTTCCATACCAAGAGGAGACTAAAACAAGCTGGTTTGTGAAAAGCACAGCTAGAGTCTCTGCATCAACGCCCACCAAATCTGCCGTGACAAGAAATCCCAGAGCTCAAGCATTAGCAGTGCTCTGGTGACAAGAAGTGACCAGATGTGGAACACAGGGAGTGCTACAGAAAGTTGACAGAGCATCCC